CATATTCATAGTTAAATGAAGTGAATGTCTGTGGCTATATGTTATTTAAAAGTCTGTTTTATCAGTTAGCTAATACTAGAACACATCAACTCCCATATTATTCCACAAGTGGGTTCAGGAACAACATTCGTCTTGAATATCTGCGACCATATATATATACATATATGGTCGCAGATATTGTGTTATATTGTGTTTTATATTTTGTTATAAATGCCTAGAGAATGTGAAGTGATTTCCTTCGGCTTGGACAATTAAGTCACGCCAACATTAAATGGCAAAAGTTTTAGGGCAATCCACACATGTGCCTCTCAATTAGGTACTCAATTATCCCTCTCTCTCTCCCTCTCTTCCTCCTCTCTTTTTTTCTCCCTCTCTTCCTCCTCGATCTTTCTTTCTCCCTCTTTTTCTTCTCTCTCTCTCTGTATCCTTGTCTTCTCTCTCGCTCCTCTTTCTATCTCTATCTCTCTCTTTCTCTCTCTCCCTCCCCCCATCGTTCTATGATATATCTATCTGTCGATCTGTCGTGCAGGTACGCGACTTCTACATCTTCAACCTGGCGCTGTGTGACTTCATGGTCGGCGCCATCATGATGCCCATGTCGGGCATGAACGCGCTGCTCGGCTACCGCTGGCCGTTCAGCCGCGCCGCCTGCAAGCTCATTCTCGTCTGGGACTACACGCTCGTCACCGAGGGCATGCTCACCATAATCCTCATCAGCTGGCAGCGCTACCGCGCCGTCACGCGGCCGACCAGCGCCGCGCCGCGCCGCGCCGGCACCGCCGGCATCATCGTCGCGTCGTGGGTGGTCGCGGCGGCCGTGTACGGGCCGGCGCTCGTCGGCTGGGACGCGTGGCGCGGCTACTCGATCGTCGCGCCGGGCCATTGCCGCGCCGAGTTCGTCGACAGCTTTGAGTACATGCTGGCGACGGGCCTGCTCGCCTTCCTGCTGCCGCTCGTCGCCATCACCTACTTCTACGCGCGCATCTACAACAGCGTGTGGCGCAGCGGCCTGATCGCCGCCGCCGCCGCCGCGTCCCGCACGCTGCACCGCGCCGCCAACGACGTGCATCCCGTGGCGCCGCCGCCAAAACCCGCGCAGCTACCTGCCGACATGAAGCAGCGACTCGCCGTGCCGAAGAGAAGCAGTGGCTTGACGGTGAAGCCCGCCGTGACGAAGCCTGCTGCTGCGGTCGGAGCTGGCATCAGTCGTGCAGCGCCACCGTACCGCCCCTATCAGCCGCAGCCAGCGTGGGGCCCAGCCGCCCACAACCCGCTCCTTCTTCCTCTACACGCCGAAGAAGACACGACAGATGACCCTCGTGTGATGGCGTACGCGATCACTATGGTAAAGCACCACGTGGAACCTGCCACCGCGGGTAAGCACTACATGACAACGACCAGCAATTCAGCCGACCAGGGGGGCAGCACCCACCGTCCGACCACGACAACTGGCACCACAGCGGATACTGGCACCAACCGTCCGACCACGACAACTGGCACCACAGCGGTTACTGGCACCAACCGTCCGACCACGACAACTGGCACCACAGCGGTTACTGGCACCCGCAATCCGATCATTAACACGGCAGCTGACCGTCACCTCGCACCGAACACTGCCACCACCGACGACCAGCCGTGCAGGACTCCCAGCAGCATCGCCGACGCCCACGCCACCGTCACCGCCGCCGGCCGAGACAGCCCCGCGACCCCGACTGTCGCCGTCCACCAGGGAGAGCCGGCGTGCTTCTCCGAGACGTCGACAGCGTTGTCACTCGTCGACCAAGTCCGTTTGGCACGCAACCGCCAGGTGGCGCTGTCGACGGCGCTGCTCATTGGCGTCTTCGTCATCTGCTGGATACCGTACAGCATCTATGCGGTCATCGTCTCGCTGCAGCCGGCGTACATGCATGACACGCTCTACACGACCGCCTACTGGCTCGTCTACGCTAACTCGATCGTCAACCCGTGGGTGTACGCTGCCATCGCCGACAGGTTTGGCTTCCGCAAGCTGTGGGCCAGTGCACTGCGATGCTGCTGCTGCAGCGACGAGTAGCTGCAATGAAGCAGCCACGGATATGTTTGGCTTCAGGTAGTAACTGCGACAAAGCAATCAGGAACAACATGTTTGGCTTCAGGTAGTAACTGCGACAAAGCGATCACGAACAACATGTTTGGCTTCAGGTAGTAACTGCGACGAAGCAATCAGGAACAACATGTTTGGCTTCGGGTAGTAACTGCGACAAAGCGATCACGAACAACATGTTTGGCTTCAGGTAGTAGCTGCAACAAAGCGATCAGGAACAACATGTTTGGCTTCTGGTACTAGCTGCGATGAAGCGATCAGGAACAACATGTTTGGCTTCTGGTACTAGCTGCAATGAAGCGATCAGGAACAACATGCTTGGCTTCAGGTAGTAGTTGGTGCCGGCGCGATGTGATTGACTGTCCGTCCAATTCGGGGAATGTTTAACTGACCAAAAATGCATGCTATGTTGTGCGCATGTAAAGTAATGTATTCGCATCAAATAATGAGTGTTGTATCCATAACATGTTCAACTTAATATCGTGCTTATTGTATCCACACACAACAACTAGTCGTGAAAATAGCTCTCAATGATTCCCCATGGAGAGGAGCAGGAAAACAGACAGGGGAGAAAAGTAGTAGAGGTAGAGACAGGGGATAGAGGGAAACAGGGAAGAGGGGAGGAAGGGGCAGGGGGTGGAAGGGAGAGCAATGGAGGTTAAAGAAGAGGCTGATGCGAAGGATAAGAGAGAAGGGTTGCATATACATCTCGCCAACGCATATCCGAGTTTTTTTCTCTCATGAAGGGACAGCCAGTACGGCATTACCACAAACCGTAATCCTTGCCGAAAAATGATGAGGTGTCAACTCGATTCAAAATGATGCCCTTTGGTGGCTTCCCTGACACGCACTCATGCAATTTACCATTCCACACTCCAGGCATTGTTCCTACCTGCCACCCACCCACTCACTATCCATAATCTGTGTCGATGCAAGACTGCTAGCAGCAATGGCACAGTATATGTAGCACAATATATGAGGTTTTGACACTTCTCTATTAGCCACTCATCTCACTTTGCTGATTACAACTGTCAATACATGTCAGATATAGGATGCCTGTCTATTGTATGTCCGTATATGTCACCATAATTATCTCTATTATCTATAATTATCTATAATTATCTCTATTAGCCACTCCTGATTTCATAGCCACAAGGCTAGGGTTAAAGTTAGGGATAGAGTATGGTAGTATGAGGTAGTTATGGTTTCAGTGCTGGTTTAGCGTTAAGAGTAAAGACAAGGATTTAGGATAGAAGGTGGTTTGGATTGAGGAGATAGTAAAGGTTATGGTTTGCATTAGTGGGAAGGATAGGTTATCAAATGTGTTGATGGTTACAAACTGGCATGTACAGGTGCGTTAACGTGTTGAACTGGCATGTACAGGTGCGTTAACGTGTTGAACTGGTGTGTAAACACCGACCGATTTCGCAGGGTTGGTTTGCTTTACAATGATGTTTGTAGTACAACACACAATAGAATTGGATGACTATTACAGATATATTATTTGATGGTTATATTATATATTCTTATACATGTAATAACTGTGCTCAACTATATCATACACGTAGATAAAAAACAGAAGTATGTTTGCCTTAAAACAGGTACAGATATATATAATATCAGAATTAGATAATAGGGTCCCTATTATCTACTTCTGATAATATATAATATAGTATTATAGTAGACTGACTTATTTTTGCTATTATGTATAGACAAAAATAAATTATGGATAAAAATGAGGGGCAGGGGGGCAAAAGGCTTACGTGGTTTTTACAGGGAAACCCTACACATTATCCGACATACTGACTGGTGTGGCCCTTAAACCTCTGGATATTTACTCTTATTACGCATCACACATTTTTGGAACTATACTTCCTTAATGATTGTATGATGTTACTAGAACCTCTGTACTTGTGACACTCCACGATAATAAAATAATGGGAACATAATTTGTGTGCATCTCGTCTGTTTTAAGTTTTTGTCCCATTCAGCGTCGACCTCAGTCCTTCTCGATCTCTCATTCATTCCCTTTTGAATCCTCACTCACTCTTAATCAATCTCTCCCTCACCCACAATCAATCCCTCCCCTCACTCCCTTCTAATTACAAACGAACGACTCTACCAAATTACACACACAGAACCTTTGGGAAATATAATTAAAAGAAGAGGATGGACTTGGCTCAGTCATGTCGCCCAGATGGAAGGAGGTGCCATAACGAAAACGGCACTTAGCTGAACGCCAGACAGGAGAAGAAGGGAAAGACCCAAGGAGACCTGGAGAAGGACCATCGAGAAGGAGATGCGGATGTGTGACCTGTCATGGGCCACACTGAGGCCATGCAGTAGCAGTAGACCAACGACGTTGGAGATCTCTTGTCACTGCCTTATGTGCCATCTAGGCACCTATGAGGGATAACTACAGGGGTAGAAATTAACTTTTGAACACGGGAGTCCAACAGACTCCCTACCCTCAAAAAGAGGGAGTCCGCAGTCTGAGGTTCAAAATTAAAGATATTAACAATAACGCATGTGCTTATTTTTAAGATTCATGCGGTTGCACGTCTGTCAAATTTTCTTTCGATATTAGCTGAAAAAATATGATATTTCCACGAGGCCATGCTCTGGAACGAACTAGGTAGTATGTCAGAATTTTCAGGTAGTCACACGGACTCCTGCATATGTCAAATCAGGAAGTCCGACAGTAAATCGGGGCGTATTTGACTCTGGACTCCCGTTAATTTCGCACCCTGTAATTAACTAACCAACTCCCTTCTAATAAATCCATAATAGCATTTCTCATATCCTCTGCTATACTAGAGGGGAGAAATGTGACATTTTTATGTATATGAACTTATGATCCTGAAGGAGAGTATCATTTTAATATAAAGGTGACAGAAAACCAAGCAATCCTACTTACATTGCGCTGCATAGCCTGCTAGGAGAGCAGCCGTGCTGGTAGGACAGACGAGTACGTTTCGCAAAATGTCTTGCTTCAGTTGCAGAAAGAAAAAATACCTGAAAAGAGACGATACACAAATGTCACAAGCATAGGTGTAGGTACTTAGGTGTATTAGATCAGTCACGTGCACGCACACACTAACGCACGCAGGCTCGCACGCACGCATGCACACACACAGTCACATGCTCATGGACAAACGGGGGGGGGGGGTCACGCACGTGCATTCTTATGCGGTTCAGCTTCTATTACAAACCATTGAAAATCAAATACACGTACACCATTGAAAATTGGATCAGTTGGTCCAACTTTGTCTAGAGCCTTACCTAAAATGGTTTCAGGGAACATAAAATATAGCTGGAAGGGAACGACTCATCTATAATGCGCCGATTGCATTGATTTGTTTTAATATTGCAAACATATATTATTGATTAATTAACGGTGTAACTCAGTAACATGATAATGCTGAGATGAGAAGGAAGTTCAGAACAAGAATTAGCACGCCGAACAGAGAACATCTGGATGCAGCACTGATTGCAGGAACATACTGGCCGGTCAAAAGCCTACCCGACCTCCTGGCTGCAAATGTACTACAGTAAAACTCGCATAAGTCGGCACTTTTAGGACCAGTATTTTTGTGCCGACTTACGAAAATGACGATAAGTAAGTCATCATTTTGTCGACTTATGTGTAAGTCGCCAAAATGACGACTTATGCATGTATATCCAGGTCTCCACGCTTATTTTCAGATCCCATCTGGTTGTCCTGTCAGGCAACAAGAAGAAATTTTTACTTGTGCGAATTTTGGTTTTACTTGTCCAAAATTTACTTGCAATCTAGAGCCGTTAAGGTACATTTTTAGTTCAGTGCCTATCATATTACAGTAGTAATGAAATTCACACGTTTATTTTTGCGTGCCGATTGCAGCTTTTTTCTCAATTCCATGAGAGTTTTGCTGTACATTAACTTCATTGACAGTGACTGTGCGTGCACATTTGGGGCCGAGAAACCCCTTAATTCCTTAGCAAGAAAAAATCTGTAAGTGCAAATTTAATATACAACATTCAGTGGTCATAACTTAATTCTGGGCAAATCTCCATAACCCAAGTTACAGTAACGTATAACACACTTAAACTCTACCCTTGAATTTCCCACCCAGACAGACAACACTCGTAACCATGGTAACCATTTTCTCTCCCTTAATTACTAGACCACCGACATAAAAGTGTGTTCCGAAGAGAAAGCAGAAGTTAAGTTGATGGGATTTCCATGTATGGTACCTACTGCACTATATATGAATATATATGTGTATAAATGCAGGCGTACACTCGGACTTATTGGCCATAAGTAATATTATGATATTATTATAATACATAGCCTGCATTTGTATAATGCTGTGCCAGGTATTTTATGTATTGGTTTATATCATTTATTTATTATTATATCAAATTAAGGTTACACTGAAACAAAGGTTTGGTAAATATATAGGTAGGTTAAAACACTTTTGCCGGAAAAATGTGTTGTGTTAAATTACATTGGGAAGGAAGCAATCTCCTTTTTATCTATGGTTAATAAACCACATCTGTAATATAGAATAAATAATTTCGTCAACACACAATGGGACCGAGGACCATTCTAACAACCATTGCAGGGGATGACATAATCAGATTGGTGTACTAAAAACCTAGTGAGTTGCTAAAATGAGATATTTTGAGAACGCATGTAGCAGAGGATATGGGAGGATGAAGAGGAGAAGATAGGGAGAAATTGGAGGAGTGAGCTAGCAAAGAGAGGTGGGAGAGAAGAAGGGTAGCGGAGGGAGGTGGCAGATAAGAATGGAGAAGGGAGGCGGGAAAAGACGGAGTAAGAAGGTACATGACGATCCGAGGACGGAGACACGACATCCGACGCGACATTCCGAGGAGGGAGGAGGAGAGGGTGGAGAGGAAGAAGAAGGAGGAAGCTGCAGTATACCGAGGTTTACTACTTGTGATAAACTTTCCTTAGACCACATGTCCTGTGACCAATTTTCCTATCAGCACCATGCACGTCTTCTTAAAATATAGGAAACCTGTCATTTTCGCCATGCCCTTCCGATATGTGACTATATTTCACCACTTAGTATATACCAAATATCTAGAGCATTGGGTCAATTCATTTAAATCTGCACTGCAATTTTGCGTTTTACTGGCCCTACAGCTGTTAATATAATAACAGGGGTATATAAAACATAACACTGTTAAGTTAATATACCCTATTTCTTCACAACCCCTTGACCTATGCCACTCGACTCTAGATTCGACCATCACATGTCGTTTCAGTTTACCTCCTACATCGCGAATATCAACACGGTTAGTCGTCATTTAGACATGCACAGGTATTGTAGACGCCCCACGAAGCGACTGACAACAGACACGCAAGCAACATTGAGTTCATTTGAGCCATCGCTGGTATGATCAAACACATAATACCCAATCACGACACAGGATTTCGTCCCCACATAACAGACGGCCGCACGTTTCACTTATACCTTATTATAGAACTAAGTAATTGGTCGGAACAACATCGACTGCTAAAAACATCAAACACTGTAGGGTTTCTAAGTGGAATCACATTATGACGTTGTCTGTGCGGTATTACCTTCAAGAGATAATATCCGTTTGCTGACAATGGAGTAAATTACAGGGACACGCTCACGCACACACGAACGTACATGTGTCTCTCTTAATCCACCTCAGCTCTCTCCACCCAGCCTTGTGACACTATCACATACACCACACACCATTACACTCCACCCCTCCCTATAATACTGCCTCTCCCCACCCCACACCACCCTATCATACCACCTCTCCCCACCTCACGCCACCCTATCATACCACCTCTCCCCACACCACCCTATCATACCACCTCTCCCCACCCCACGCCACCCTATCATACCACCTCTCCCCACACCACCCTATCATACCACCTCTCCCCACCCCACACCACCCTATCATACCACCTCTCCCCACACCACCCTATCATACGCACCTCATCACCCACACCACCCTATCATACCAACCTCTCGCCCACCCACACCACCCTATCATACCACCTCTCCCCACCCCCACACCACCCTATCACACCACCTCTCCCCACCCCACACCACCCTATCATACTACCTCTCCCCATCTCACACCACCCTATAATACCACCTCTCCCCACCCCACACCACCCTATCATACCACCTCTCCCCACCCATGCCTATCATATCCACCTCTCCCCCACCCCAGCACCACCCTATCATACCAACCCTCCCACACACACCAACCACCTATCATACCACCTCTCCCCACCCGCCACACCAGGCCTTATCATACCATCTCTCCCCCGCACCCCACAACCACTCACATATCATACCACCTCTCCCACACCCAGCACCACCTTAATCAATACACCTCTCCCCACCACACCATCTCCTATCTAATACCACCTGCTCCCCACCCCATACACCCTATCATACCACCTCTCCCCACACCCACACCACCCGATCATACCACCTCTCCCCACACCACCCAATCATCATCCGGCCTCTCCCCACCACATCGACCCTATCAACCACCTCTCCCACCCCACACCCCTCTCCCCACCACCGCCACCCTATCATACACCTTCTCGGCCCACCCCACACACCCATCATACACCTCTCCCCACACCAACACCACCGCTATCATATCCACCTCTCCCCACCCCACATCCACCTAAATAACCAACCCCCCTCCCCCACACCACCCTATCATACCACCTCTCCCCACCCCACACCACCCTATCATACCACCTCTCCCCACCCCACACACCCTATCATACACCTCTCCCACCCCACACCACCAATCATACCACCTCTCCCCACACCACACCACCCTATCAACCACTCTCCCACCCACCACCACCCATATACCACCTCTCCCGCACGCCCACACCAACCTATCATACCACTCTCCCCACCCCACACCACCCTATCATAAACCACGCTCTCCCCACCCACACCACCTATCACACCACCTCCTCCGCCACCCCACACACCCTATCATACTTACCCTCTCCCCATCTCACACCACCCTAAATACCACCCTCCCGCACCACCACACACCTATCATACCACCTCTCCCCACACCACACCACACCTTATCACATACCACCTCTCCCCACCCCACAGCCACCTACATACCCCCTCTCGCCCACCCCACCGCCACCCTATCATAACCACCTCTCCCCACCCACACCACCCTAATCATACCACTCTCCCCACACACACACCACCTATATTACCACCTCTCCCGCACACCACACCATCCGTCATCACTACCACCTCTCCGCACCTCCACACCACCTATCATACCACCTCTCCCCACCCCACACCACCCTATCATACCACCTCTCCCCACACCACCCTATCATACCATCTCCCCACCCCACACCACCCTTAGCTATCATACCACCTCATTCCTTCACTTCCTCACACCACCCTATCATACCAGCCTCCCTCCACAACCACCCTATCATACACCATCCCGCCACCCCACAACCACCCTATCATACCACCTTCCCACCCCACACCACCCACATACCACCTCTCCCACCCCACACCACCCTACAACACCTCTCCACACCACCCTATCACTACCACTCTCCCCACCCCACACCACCCTATCATACCATACCACCTCTCCCCACCCCACGCACCACTATCTATCCACCCTCCCCACCCCACACCACCCTATCATACCTACCTCTCCCCATCTCACACCACCCCTAGTAATAGCCCCTCTCCCCACCCCACACCACCCTATCATACCACCTCTCCCCACACCACACCACCCTATCATACCACCTCTCCCCACTCCACGACACACCCTATCATACCACCTCTCCCCACCCCACACCACCCTCATCATACCACCTCTCCCCACACCAACCACCCTATCATACCAACCTCTCCCCACCCCACACCACCTAACCTTCACACCCTCATCCACCCCACAACAACCTATCTCATCTCCCCACCCCACACACCCTATCA